GGCGTCCGGGGGGGGGGGGGGTCAGGCCTTTTCTTCCCTCTCCTCCCTGCCAGCACAGGGGATTTCAGCCACCTACAAATCCCCCTCCGGAGTCAGTCCCCCTGCCCGGCGCAGCCCCCTGCACCCCTTCTCCTCCGCGCGCAGAGAGCGAGCGAGCGGAGACGGCACCGAGTTATTTCAGGATCCTTCCCCCCCACTCCCCACGCTCCCGTTTAACTCGCATTATTCTACCTTGCTGGAGATACCCTGGAGTGTTATCACAGCCAACTCCTTGGAAACAGCGCTGGAGCCCAGGCTGCGTGTGCATGTCTGCGTCGCTGGCAGGGCGCACGCAGCCACTCACCTTCCAGGAAGAGCAGATTCCTGGAAGCGAGGGAAACGACCGTCATTTTACAGTCAGGCGGCACGGCGAGCGGGAACCCGGGCTGCGCCGCTCCCCGGCACGGGGACATGCATCTTTCGGAGAGCACGGAGCTGCGCCGAGCCGGCCGGGGACAATGCTCTAAGGAGGGAGAGGAAGGAGCGGGCGGGGGACCAGGGATGCTGCGGGGTCTCTGCTCTGCCCTCGCAGCGCGGCCGGCTGCCCAGGGGCTCAGCGACCGGGCACAGGACCCAAAATATTGGTGGGAAATAGAGGCCCCGATGACCCACGGGAGAACAGCATCGTCCCCAACATCAGCATACAGTCAGAGATGGCTGATGTGGGCTCTGACCCTCCTGCATCGATATGGGATGAGGACACCGAAGCCGCGGTCCTCAGCTCCACAAACGGAGCAGAGATGTCTCATATTAAACTCCCCCCGAGCTGCCCGGTGTGTCCGGACCCCGCAGCACGCCGGAGCCAGGCGGCTCTGGAGCAGAGGCTCAGCCCAGAAGAGAGACGCTTCGCACCTCCCCAGCACTGCACGCACAAGCGTATCCGTATCAAAGGGCCCACGGCCTCGTGCTGGAGCTGCAAGGAGCATTTCAGGCAGCGTTTCCAGGTGAGCTTACCTCGGCCTGCAGTTCCCGTCCTACAAAACAGACCCTCCTGGTCCCGGGGCTGGTTTAACCCCGACGATGAGATCAGGGCTGGCTAACGGAGCAGCCAGGCGATGCTGACAGCAGGCAGAACCCCGCTGCACTGGTTTACAATCTGTTCCCAGCTGCCGCCAATCTCCGATGTATTGGAGAAAGGTTAAAAACCCCAAACTAGAATTTAAGTTAAACATTAAGGAGATAAAAAAAACCCCACTTAATTTCTCCTCAGCCCCTTCGAGCACAAAGGCAGGGCACAGCATCCCGCTTTCAGCTCAAAGCTCAGCTCCTCTGCCAGCTAGCTTCATCCTCCGGATCCCAAAGGATCCCTCTTATCCCAAAGGATCCCCAATCTCCATCTGACTGGAAGCACCACAGGATAACCGAGCCGGTCCGTGGCGCCCAGTCCTCCCCGAAACAGGGGTCAGACCAGCGCGAACCGTTGTGCTGCCAAGAGCCTCCGCTCCCCTGGGGGGACCACTGTCGAACCCACGCAGAGCCGCACGGACCTCAGCCAGGACCCCCGCTCCGAAAATCACCCCCCCCATACAGGGATGGGGTTTTTCCCTCCGTGCAGCAGCGGGGCTGACACCGGGACCACCGGTAACGGCTCCCGCGAGCAGCTCGGAGCCCCGGGGAGGTGGGCAGGCCGCCTGCCGCCGCCAGCGAGAGCTGAAGCGCTATCCCACCCCTGGGAGCAACCAGCGCCTGGTTTCGACGGTCTCTCAGCAATTTCCCTCTCTGATAACTTTTCAGACTTGAGATTTCAGGAAATATTGGGTCACATTTCATTTGCTCTAAAAAAACCAAATGGAAACCTGAACGTCAGGCAAGAGACGGTTCGTCTGTCTGTAGCCCAGTTATCCAAGGAGCCGAGAGCGGCTAACCCCGTTCTCAGGTGCCCGGCACCCAAATAAAAGAGGGTAAAACGAAGGAGACGTGGGCTGTTTTGGGGCGCAGAGGCGGTGGGGATGGTCTGAAAACATCCCCTGTCTCCCCTCAGCCTGTGAGACGCACACACCTCGCCGCGGGCAGACCGCCGAGGGCGGCCCTCCTCAGCCGGGGACGGGGCGGCCGACGAGGCTGCCCTGGTGATTTCTCCTGCGCGGGGCCGTGCTGGCTCGGACAGACAGAGGTGCTCGGCCCTTCTTAGCATCTGGGAAACGGCGATGCCGCCCAGCAGGCAGGACCGACACAGGCAAAGAGCAGCAAAGCCGTCATCTGTCGGTTTTTTGGGGTTAAGCATCTACAGAAGGACTGAGAGCCCGAGGAACCGGTGCGCAGCATGGAGAGGTCTCTTGCCCGCCTCCACCTTGTTCCTACCCCCTCTGCGGTAACGACTCTGTCTCTACCAGAGCTGTTTCAAAACTGACTTATTTTCCTGTGAAGAATTCAAAGGAGAAAAAGTATTTCACATTCATGAAGAGTTTCCGGGCTTTCGGTTACCTCGCTATTCGACAAACATGAACTTTTTCTTTTTTACGGGTTCGTTTAATTAAACATATTTCACAGAAACAAGTTTCGAGAGCTCTGCCGTTTCTTTCCTCCAGTCATTTCAGATCCGCAGCAGCTCAGCGACCCAAAGCAGCTAATTGGCAGGCCTTGACCCTGACCCTAATGATTAGCTGACCTTCGTTAGGCCTGCCCTGACCCCCAGGCTGGGCAGCGCAGCCTTCGCTCCCCCAGTCCCGGGGAACTCAGAAAAGAAAGCCCACGCTGGCCGGGACAGCCCCGCAGAGCTCCTGTAACGCTGCTCATACCTCCTCCCATCCTTTAACCATTCCCCTTCCCTCCAAACTCCAGGAGCCGCTTAAAACCCCCCGGACTCCCAGCACCGAAAGCTCACACGCACCCGAGGGGGATTCAGGCTGCACCGAGGGAGACGGGCTTTTTTCTGTCGCCTCTATTCAGACCTTCTTTCCAGGCTGCAGCACCTCCACGCTGGTGGGGAAACACGGACCTGCCGCGGGGAAAGGGGAGAGCTCACCCACGGGACCCCCCGGGGAAAAGCAAAGCCGCAGCTCTGCGGGCGACATGGACCTCTGCGCCGAGCGCTCCCGCATGTCCCCACACTCCGCCGGAGGACAGCGGCGAACGCCGAGCGAGGCTGAGAAAAGCAGCCGCCTTCAGCAGGCAGCCGCCCTGGCACGGCGCGACCGGCCAACTCCGGGGAAGCATTTTGTTATTTAACAGAGACATCCTGGCAACCAAAACCCGAGCAGCAAACTGCAGCGAGCGCCTCGAGAGGAGCCGAGCGTCTAACCCGAGCAGGCATCCTCCAGGGACGGGAGGAAATCTTCGTAGAAAGAAGGAGCACAGAACAACTCCGAGGATGAACTTTGTCAGGACGGGCAGGATACGACGTGATTTATGCGAAGGGGCGTTGTGCAAGGTCCCCCGCGCCGCTCTGTCAATGCACCAAGTCCCGGCCACCGCAGCCGCTCGTTAGAACAGCCGGGGTCCTCTCTGCTTCCAATGCACTTCAACTTCTGACCTTCATCCCCGCTGAGCCATTCATCCCCGGCACCCCCCAGCTCCCCCGGCTCGCCCAGAGCCGTCCTCCCGCCTCGCGTGTCGCTGCTGGGTCGGATTAGGTAATGGCGAGAGTTTCTTCTGCCTTTGCCGCTTCTAAATCTACATCAGGTCTGACTCTAATCCCCCTCTTCTCCTGAGCAAAGATGGACAAACCGAGGGCTTTTCACACTGCAAACACCAAACCCCTGGAGAAAAGAACAAATCCCGCCAGACCAGCCTTCTCTTACGGCCCGTACCGGCTGTGAGCCAGGCTTCTGCAGGCAACCGGATAAACTAAATCCCCCCCGTGCCCCTGCGGTCCCCTCTGGAGGTGGTCACTGGGGCCGCGACCCTCAGCACGGCAGCTCCGGTCCGTGCGACCCCACCGCTTACAGAGCCAACCTCCCCGAGACCTCTCGGCACCCTCAGACTGCGCAGCCATCGCCGGAAATACATTTTCCTTGCGGCAAGGCTTGAAATTTCACCTGTCATTCAACTTCTGACCTTCATCCCCGCTGAGCCATTCATCCCCGGCACCCCCCAGCTCCCCCGGCTCGCCCAGAGCCGTCCTCCCGCCTCGCGTGTCGCTGCTGGGTCGGATTAGGTAATGGCGAGAGTTTCTTCTGCCTTTGCCGCTTCTAAATCTACATCAGGTCTGACTCTAATCCCCCTCTTCTCCTGAGCAAAGATGGACAAACCGAGGGCTTTTCACACTGCAAACACCAAACCCCTGGAGAAAAGAACAAATCCCGCCAGACCAGCCTTCTCTTACGGCCCGTACCGGCTGTGAGCCAGGCTTCTGCAGGCAACCGGATAAACTAAATCCCCCCCGTGCCCCTGCGGTCCCCTCTGGAGGTGGTCACTGGGGCCGCGACCCTCAGCACGGCAGCTCCGGTCCGTGCGACCCCACCGCTTACAGAGCCAACCTCCCCGAGACCTCTCGGCACCCTCAGACTGCGCAGCCATCGCCGGAAATACATTTTCCTTGCGGCAAGGCTTGAAATTTCACCTGTGAGCGCCGGCAGCCACCCGCCAGACCAGCAGGCGAGCGCACCGGCACACCAACTCCAGCGTAAACTTCCCAGGCTCAGCCCTGGTACCGTTCTTTAAATTAGCTGTTTATTACGCCACGGGCTTAACGCTTCTCCGACACTTAATGGAACACGCCGCTGTTCTGAATACTGTTCCTCCATGCTTACGCTGCGACGGCGATAGCAGCGCAGCCTCAGGCACAGCAACCGAGCGCACAGGACAGCTTACACCCAGAGGATGAGGCTGGGCACCTTAAAACGTTAGCAACCCAAAATAGCTGGCAAAAATCAAGATGAGACATACCAGATATGTAAGATCGTCCATTACAGTCTTCTATATCCATCTTTAAGGTACTTTGCTGAAAGAGAAAGCAGAGCTCAGTCAGAGTTAGCCCTCCAGAAGCCGCTCGGACTCTCCTCCTCCAGTAAAACCGCCCAACAGCTTCTGGGAGCAGACGAGTTACTCACCCCACGTTCCTTTAATGCTGCTCTGCAGCCCTGGGCTTAACACCCTCACCACCGACTTTGCCATCAACCCCCGTGGGTGACGCTGACCCTCCCCACCCCAGCGGTGCCCTCCTCCGGAGAGCGAAGGCCAACGCCGCAGCAGGCGGCGGTCCGGCAGCCGAGCTGGGGATGAACCCCACGCTAAGCACGGAGGGTTTCGTCCCCCCGCCACACAGACTGCCGCCCTCGCAGCAGGCACGGGACGCGGCGTCAGCTCTCAAAGCCAAACCCGGGACGCTCAGAGCGGGCAGAGATGGGAGAAGAGCAGCTACCAGCTCCCCCGGCACGGCCGAGAGCTGGGGAGTCACCGGTCCCGACGGACAGACGGCCACTGCCACCGGGCAGCGAGGTATGCCAGCAATTTGCTTCTCCCGCTCCGGCGAGGGGCCGAGGTGCTCGTGCCCGACGTGGCAGCGGGGAGGTGAAGCCTCGAGTGAGGGACACGCGCGGCCAAAGCGTTGGGCTTCATTTTATCAACGAAAAGAATCGGGGTTTCGGGCAACGAGAGCGGATGCTAACGCACCACGCTCTGCCGAGCGGCCTCGCAACACCCGTTCCAACGACCACGCCAAAATAAAAGGGAAATCTGCCTTATATTTTGCTGCTCGGCACCCCACAGAGATAATGAACTTTTTATACATTCAAATGGCTTTTATTTGTCAATTACTCTGGCTGTTTAAGAAACAAAATGAGCCCAGTTTTAGAAACAGGAGTTTTGCTGTTTAGCGCCGGCTCTAATTGGCGGTTGATAGGGTCGGAAACGGAGTGTTTGCTGCGGAGAACAATTAAAAAAAGCGATAATTTGTGGAGATGAATCGCCTCCTCGAAAAGGAAAATCAACGTGATTTGCAGAGTGTGCTGCTGCTTGCGTGCACAACGCTGTCCATTCCCCCCCCCGGTTCTCGAGCAGCCGATACTCCGCAGACCGCGAAGCGTTCCAGGGGACCTCGGGACCTTTTCTGAGCTGAAAGAAATTCGGCCGGTGCCCCTTTTAAAAGCAGATTTTTAACAATGACTGCGTCTCGAACGAAGCGAGTTGCGCCAGTCTTGCTCCTGGCGAGGCACCGCTCGAGATAAGCACAGACGCGGACAAGGCACATCAGGACGGGCTTATTACCCCATCGGACCCGACTTCTCGCTTGACGTTAATTAAGAAGAAAGGCTCTCGCCGTGCTGCGCTTAACGGCAGACCTCACACGGCGGCTCGCTGCTTTTGGGGAGGCTTTGGGCACCCCGCGGCACGTCCCGCCCAGGGTGTTTAGCCGGCCGTCCCCTCGCGGTGTGGCGACCGGCGAGGCGAGCAGCCCCCCCCTCCATCACTGCTACCCCGGACCCCGAACCCGACCGGGGAGAGGGAAACGCCGGCGCCGATCCTGCCGGCAGCGGGGCGCAGACTCCCAGCCCCGCTCCGGATCCAGCGCCCGTGCTGTTCCCTCCGCTGCCATCCCTGCCGCCGGGGGAAGGAGGACATCCTGGGGCCGTACCTCTGCCCCGCCGGCAGCTTCCCAGCCAAGGAAAAGCCGAGCACTCCACAGCTCCCCTTCCCACCCCGCAGCGGCCATTAACTTCACGAGATGAAAATAATTTAGGTTGAAATCTCTCTCTCTCTCTCTCAAGCACCGGGTTACACAGGAGCTGTGGTTTAAAATGCATCCTGCAGCTTTATTTTTCTTGAACCCGTAATTCTGCTTTTCTGCGCTACGCACGCCCGCTCGCAGATCCGTCTGCTTTGCACAAAGGGCAATGCAAAGCGCTAATAAAAATCAATTTTGTTTAGGAAGCCCTTTCTCTCCCGTACTCTGCAGAAGCCCTTGAAAATATGAAATAAATAAAATAAAATAAAATAATTTTTTTTAAAAAAAAAGACCAAGCGCCAAACGACTGCCCAACGGGCACCGCGGTGAGCACGCGGCACGGAGAGCTGCCGGCATCGCCCCCTCCCGAAGCCCTCGCCGCCCCCCAGGGACCCGTCACAGCCCCGGCTCAGGGCTGAGCCCGGGGACCAGCGGGACGCGGTGTCCTCCCGACACCACAGGCAGCAGACGGCGAGGAGCGAGAGCGAGAAATTAATTTCCCTCAAAGTAATCAGCTAATAATCAGCCAAATACAATTGAGCTGAGGAGCCAGTTCTGTAACTCCTACTTCCTACTCCTGCACGCGGTCTCACTAACGTTAACGGGGTGATGTGTCGCTTATTAGAGAGAGTGATTCCTCGCTCCGTTGTATTTTAAGAGGGGACCCAGAAAAAAAACACTGGGAGGGTTCAGGAGCCCCGAGCCACGCGTGAGCGGCTTTTTTCCTTAATTTTGACTGAGTGCGAGGCTTTCGCAAGCAGGAATTGCAATTTTAAAAATTGCAAATTAAAAAAATGCACCTAGCTCGCGTGAACCTGCAGCTCTGCAGTTAACGACGGCCCATAATTAACCTTCGGCTAGATGCGTTGTCGTTTGTTCCCAGAGTCCTTTTAATTTTGAAAAGCATCGCAAAAAAAAAAAACAAAAAAAGGCTGCGCAGCCGGGCTGACACAACCTGGTGTCACAGCCTGGGTGAAAACACATCCCCGGGAGAAAGGGGCTGTTTTGGTGCTGGCGCAACGGGGAGCGATGCCGGTCGCCTCCGAGCTCCCCGTCGGCACCACCAACAGCCGCCCTCCGTCTCCGCCGGCCGGGCAAACCCTCCCCGGTGCCCCTCGGAGCAGAGCGCGGCGTTCCTCCTCTCTCCGGAGGAGGGTTCGGGTCAGGCAGCGCGGCGAGGACTCGGACCGGGGACAAACCTCCACGCTTGGGACCGTCGGGCGCAGAGAGCACGTCTCCGTCTCCGGACTTTCCTTCCCAGCTTTCAGGTGTGATCATCAACTTGGGAATCGGAGACAGAAGCGCGATAAAATTAGAGCAGAGTGCCTTCAGCGCTGCTCGACGCTCTCCTCCCCTCTGAAATAAGGACTTTTCCCCAAGTGGCACCACTCAAGATAAAAAAAAAAAAAATACAAAGCGACTCCTCAGAACTAGCCCAATTTAACAAAACCTCCGTCTCAGCATGATGCAATCTGTGACCGTCCTTTGCACTAATAACACGAGGCGGCCGCAGAAGGCCAGGCCGGGCTCTGCCCCTCCTGCCCCGGGAGAGGCGCCGGGTCTCTCCTTATCCTGGGGATGGCAGAGATGTCCCAGAGACGGGAAAAGTCTCCTAAATCCCGCCCGGCCGCACCCCCCAACACGGGGCTCCCATCAGCTGCCTCCGGAGCCCGCTTTAACCCCCGTTAGCCTTACGGTCGTTAGGAGAGTCCCCTTATTTTCTTCCCCACTTTCCCCTATTTCTCTTAATTTCTCCCCGGTACTTCTGGTTATACCTCAAGCGCTGTGAAACCATTCTGAACGCTCGGCACCAGCTGCCAAACGCTTCTGCAGACACCCCGACGGCACGGAACACCACCCCAGCCCAACGCCACCGACGTATCTGCCCACATCCCCCCCCCCGGGGGTAAATACACAGCTCCCGCCAGCCAGAAACCACCCAGAAACATCAAAACCCTTCACTCTGACCCATTTCTCTGCTGGTCCGGCAGCGCGGCTCGCCGGCAGGGATTGCTTCCCGAGAGGTGACCAGTGGGTCCCACCCCGGTTCTGCTGCACCCAACGCCTCCCGCACACCCCCACATCGCTCCCCGTACCGAGGTTTGGCTCCCGTCTCCCCGCGGGACAGCTCGGCACGGCGCTGGCGAGACCGGCATCGCCGGGAGCAGGGAGCCTGCGGCGAGAAGAGAAGCGGCACGTGCAGGGGGGAGACACGCTCGGGGCGAACACCTCCAAACCTCCCGTCGGGGTAAGAATTAGTAAGCGCTGCAAAGGTCCCTGCAGTTTCTTTTTCCCAACCATTGTTTCCATTAGCTGCCGTTTATTTTCCAACGGAAGGACTTTTTTTTTTTTTTTTTTTTTTCCCCCTC